TCCACCTTTAGCATTCACTGGGGACCTTGCTGCTCCATTCCCTTGCTGTTCCGCTGCACTCCCCCAGTGCTTTGCCTCAGTGTGGTGGGGTCTGATCGGGTACAGTTCCCACACTGTGTCTCTTGTGTTGTCCCCTGCAGGGCCATGGGTCAGTGAGGGCCATCATGTTCCATAGTGGGGATGGCCATGTGGTCCTCTCTGTTACTGGCTGTTCTAATTGGGGTCATTGTCCTCAAGGCCTGGTGGGCCAGGATGTGCTCCAGTCTCTCCTCCTCACCACCCGTCATCTGTTCCCCTGTGCTCCGATCAGATACATCCCTCTCCTGGAGCTGCAGATTCAGTGCCGTCCTTTGAAATAAATTATTCTTGGGGGAGGGGCACATCTATTTTTTCAATGCCATGCAATCTACCCACACTACATCGATTTGTGATCGACTAGTAGATCACGATCAACATATTGAGCACCCCTGCACTAGCCACTCTATCAGAGAAAGTCTGGGCTTTCTAGTCCCATAAAGAATCAGTCTCAGAAACTCACAAGGCAGTTCTACCCTGTCAGCATCGACTCGGTGGTAGTAAGTTTGGGGTCTGGCAGGCAGAACATCTTAGTCCTGGCCTCCCAATGCGTTTGCCTCCTCCCAACCTAGACAGTCCCCGTCCTACCATGTCGCTCATTAGGACCAAAGAGTAAGCTAAGGTCACGCCGCTGTAAAGGAGATTCACACTCGCCTATCACCATTAAAAGAGACAGAAAGGCTGCACACCAAACGCTGAGGGATGTGATGGGTGATGTGTATTTTCTGATGTATTTTGGTCTATCAGATGTAAGCGGAAGTTGTGTTGAATTGATGTTATGAAGAAAGCAACAGGCTGGTGCGAGTGGTAGAAATCCCCTTACAGAGGGGTCTTGGGAGTAGCTGAGCCAGTCAGGGTGCGATGTAGCAACGGTGAAACATACAACTTTCCTCTAGTTCCTAAATGCTTCCTCCCTTCCCCCCTTCACCCCCCGCCCTCGCCCCAATTCTACCTTGCAAGTCTGGCTAGACCAGAGGATGTACACTGGTACAGAAAGGAACTGGAAACACAGGGCCGATGACCCCTTCAGGACCAGTGGTGTAAGTGGTGATACTGGGAGGGTAGAGGGAGCATGGGTTGGAAAGGGGGAACCGATTACAAGGATCTACATGTGACCTCCTCCCTGGGGGAGGGACAACCGAAAAGTGGGTGAAGGGAGACGTCGGACAGGGCAAGAGATGACAAAATAATAATTTATAAATTATCAAGGGCTCATGAGGGAAGGGGGAGCGGGGAGGGAGGGGAAAAATGAGGAGCTGATGTTTTGAGAATGATGAGGGCAATGAATGTACAAATGCGCTTTACACAACTGATGTACGTATGGATTGTGATAAGAGTTGTATGAGCCCCTAATAAAACGATTAAAAAAAATTTTTTTTAATCCGTCCCTCGCCTCTCACCGCGCCCCCTCTCACCCCCACCCTGCTCAGCATCCACTCAGTGCGCAGCCACGCTCGGCCCGGCTGGGCCCCCCCGGGCCGGAAGTCACGACGCGGTGCCGGAAGCGGGGCTCCGGGAACCGGAAGCGGGGCTCGGGGAAAGATGGGCCTCCTCGGATTAGAGCGCGGCCGTTGGGCCTGTTGAGAGCGCGGCCGCGGCCGCTCTGCGGGCAGGGCTCCAGATGGACGCGGCGCCGGACCCGGGGCAGGGGCTTTGCTGCAAGCCTGGTGGGCGGCTGGACATGAGCCACGGCTTCGTGCACCACATTCGACAGA